TGTAAAAGTAATTTTTCGCGAAGGAAACGAAAAATACAAGGAAAGGGGAAATATTTGTTAAGTAAAAATTTCAAAAAAATTAAAAAGGTATGCAAAATTGTTGGGAACGGAAGTTTTTGTGACGTTTTTTTAAACAGCTACTTGTGAATTTACTGTTTTAATTTTGTTGGTATCTACAGGAATTTGTTAATTTTGTTGTTGTTGTAATGGATGTGTGTCGCATATAATGGATATGTTTTAAAAAAATAGGGTTTGCCGAACATTTTCAGAGAAAAAAACGTTTTGAATAAAAAAGCTAAAATAACCAGATTATTTAACTAATGAAGAGAGTTCAAAAAACGTTACTGTAAAAGTAATGCTTTGTTTCAGTTGAAGCATGCCATTCGCAAGCGAGAACCAAAGAAAAGTGGTAATTAAGTTAAAATTGGGGAGGCAGTTGAGGCAAACGAGGAGGCTGTCGCAGAGGAAGTGAGTAGACAGCGGTTGCCAAACGGCGGCAGTAGGACAGGATGTTGCATTTCAGACCGAGACAGCTACTTGCTGCGACGTCGGCTGCCAAACCGACGTGGAGTTCCAGCAGCCTCGCTTTCCGGCAACCGATGGTAAGCATGATAAGAAGTAACGGTGAGCATGAAAAGTAATAATTTAGGCAGTGATTAAATGACGCACGTGGTGTTACAGGATGCGAGTGCCCAAAGTAGCCAGCAGACCGTTTCCACAGAGAAAAAGACGACGTGTGGAGATTCCGCTCATGGAGACGGCGAGGATGAAGGTCGGAACGAAGCTGAGCGACAAGGTGCGGCATGTTGTTGTTAACATGGCGGCAGTCGCGGACGTATGGAACTGCAAGCTGGTCAGACTTGGTTTGCAACCATCTCCGACTCCAGCTTTCATTTCCAGCGTTTTGGGTGTTTCCATCAACACCATCTACAGTGTCCTAGCACAGGCCCGGCCGGCAAGCGACCGTGGAACGGAGATGCACCTGCTGCCAGCCTGCAAG